GCCCGCAAGTCACCCCAATCTTGCTACGCCAGCCATAACGGTACACCTCTGCGCAATACTCTTTGTCACTGGTACGCTTGGGCACAATCATCCCCTTGGGGATGCGTCTCTGGCACACCGCCTTGTATTTGCGCCAATGCACGTTGAGTTTGCTGGCCCACCCCAAAGAGCAATAGAGGTCGTACCCCGTCAAATTCTGCTTCAAGCGAACGACGCTGGCATTGAAACGAAACGAAGATGCGGCCGATACTGTCGCAATGTGATTCAACTGCCCATGGGTCGCCTCCACGCTGGCCCCATCGAACTTGGCGTGCTCCAGGGTCTTCAGCTCAGCGTCCAGCCTAGAAGTCACCCCTCGGCCCTCGCAGTGGTCGATAAAGTCAATGCTCAATTCGCCCTCGCACCGCCGAGCTGCGACACGGTGCTGCGCCTTGCCCCGATCCACGCCACGGCGATACATGTCCAACAACTGTTGAGCAATGGAAAGGCCCCGTGCCTCCCAGAAGCGATAAGGTAACATATCAACGAACGTCCACTTGCGCTTGGCAACCCCGCGTAGATGGCTGCACGCTGAGTGGATGGCGCGGTAGATCTCCAGTCGGGTCTTCGTCGGGAGTCGTGCGAAGGGCGATCTGATTATTCCGCCAGCGATCGAAAGCTCCAGAGAGCCGCTGGCGACTCTGCCCCTGCAAGATGTCTGATTGTTGGGGCGCGCAAAATTCACGCCCTTTGCCGCGTGGCGACGGCGCTCCTCCTCATGACACGGGCAACCTTGCATCCACTTCCTCTCTGTCTCGATGTCCTTGCCGAGGTCGCTGACGAACCGCGCCTTGGCCCAGACCGCATCGTCGCGGGACAGAGCGCCCACTGCTGTCGCTTCGGGCCCCTGCGCGGGCATTCGGTCCGGTCTCCAGCTGATGTGGAAGCCCGTGGCCATGTCAACGAGGTCGGACGCAGCGGCAGCCACGGTGCCCCAACGAAGACGGAAGCACGATCGGGGGGCCGCTCGGAATGCTTGGCCTCGCGGGCGGCAACGTCCTTCAACGCTCTACGCATGGTCCCGCGGTGACCGTCATCGCGCAGGAAAGCGATCATGCGGTTTAAATCGGCGAAGAACGTACTCCACCATTCCATCGAATTCAACACTGTCCGTAAAATAAGGCCCCACACGCGGTTGCCCTCGGGAAGCCAGAAGCTGCGCGGGAACACGTACTCGTCGGGGACGGCCGCGCCGATGGGGCCCGCCACCTCGCCCCTGAGGAAGAGAGCCGTGAAATCCTTGAAATCGTTGATGTGGCTCTCGGTGCCGCTACCTGGGGATGCGATCCTGACGGACTCGCACCAGTGCTTGATCAAGGCCGTTCTGAAACCACATGCAAGGCCAACGCAGTGGAGCACGGCAGCTGCCCTGTCGCTGGCCGCGAAATGGCCCACGCCGAGCGCGCACGCAGGCAACGTCCGAAATTGAGCTCGGGTCATGTCGGCGCGCTGGTGGGCGAACTCACGCACAGAGAACAACTCGATGCCTTTCTGGGGGCTCGCGTCGTACCAAAGTTGCCGCATCCAGCCGCCAGCTGCATTCAATGCTTGCCTCAACAACATCATTGCTCCATCCAATATGATACGAGCCCGAGTGGACGCGCGGCCTGACGGCGATGGGGAACGATCCCCAATTACCCTGCTCATCAGCTGCGAAGCTTCGCCAGGCAATACAAACTCCAGGGCGTGCTTTACGTGATCTGCCATCGTGCCGATGGCGCTCATGCCGTTTGAAACTTTCAAGGATCTGACCAGGTGGCACGGGGTGAACCTCGTTCCTCGTGCAATGTTTTTTTCTCGTGCCCTTTCATCGTGTACGATGGTTGGTCTACTGCTGGCTCGCTCTCCGCGCCAATGGCCCTGGATCTGGCACGTGGTTGAGATCTCAAGCAGCGCAGCACAACTTTATCTGATAGACTGTCTGGTGAAAAACAATCGCGCGAACGCTGTCGGAACACGAGCTGGTACATGTCGAAGCCGAGCCATCCACGAGCGTGCATCGTAGCAAAATTCGGATGCATAACCCATTTGCGAAATCTTGAACCAATCCCATCAAATTCGCATGTTGATTCCCAAGTCCGAACCAAATCTCGAAGCTCCACGGTTCTTTCAGAATATATTGATGCTCCGTGCGCATTCGCAATACCAGTACCCACCCTAACGGACATGCCCATATCAACCCATGCAGACAATTTGAACATGAACTCGCCTCCTGACATTGTGTTGAATTCTTCTGGCATCTTAATTGGCTCACTCATTCTCGAACTGCCTCTGCATCTGGGAGTCGTTCTCTGTCACCATGTCTGTGGCGTCCTCGTCCCCTTTCAACAGTTTGTAAGACCTGGCAACTGCGAATCCGACCGTACACAATGAACGTGAAACACTCTCAGGAGGCAGAGCGGAATGTCGATCCAGAACTTCGTGGCACATGTCTGCTATAGCTCGTTCTGGGCCCTCCTGCACGCCATCTGAGAAACATTGCGCCCACCTGCCCGAGGTGGAACCGATGATCGCTACGAGCACGAAGGGCCCGACGTAAGACAGATCTGCTCGGCGCCGCTTCCGCGAGCGACGCTGGGCAGCGGGGTGAGAGACTGCGCCGCCCTGCCCGTTGGGAGCGAAGGAACCCACGATCACGACACCGTCGTCCATATGGAAGGCTGCTAACTCAGCAGCAGAGAAAAATGGGAAAAAAACCATGGATATCATGCTGACGCCAAAACGGCTATGGAGTGAAGCAAACAACGCTGATGAGACCTGGCGGGTCTGTTTTGAGATGCACCGTATCGTTTAGCATTGGCGGCCAAGGGTGAGCGGGAGGGAGCACGTGGTAGGAACGAGAAGGGAAGATGGGGGCCCATATACGCTCTTGGTTGTATTTTAGGTTTTCCAACGCGCACCAGGAGGGCCAATTTGGCAACGTTCACGCACGAAGCTCTAGCACCACTGTAAACCCTGTATGAGTTCACAACTAATTTCGGCAACTGCGACAAACCTCAAACCTGCTCTGCTACTGACCCCCCTCCAAAGGTTTCAAAGCTGCTGTATTCCTAATTTCGGGGGGAAGGGGGAGGGGAACTTCGCAATTGCACTACCCCTTCTCTCATGTTCCTCCTCATTCTCAGCATGCCATTCCTTCTCGCCCATCTCCCTCGTTTTTGTTTTGCGCCGTGGCACGAGAATCAAAGTCTCAACCCCAACAGCAAGGCCTAAAGACAAGAACGGGGCGACCCTGTACCCCGCGAAGCAAGGTTACCCAAATGCCTACACCCCGATGGGAACGCCAATGCCACCCGCTCGGTCCAACCATCTCCGAGATTTTCGGTCCAGCGCTAAACCAGGCTTTGACGTCACAACGCCTCTCCTCAGAGGCAGCCCAGGGGCGGGGGGTGCAATCCCCCCCCCGCATGGCGCCGGAAGGGGGGGGGTTCAAACCCCCCCCCTCCTCGCGCCGGCGCCAGCGCTGGCGGCGGCCAGCAGCGCAGGCGCAGGCGCTGGCGCCGGCGACGGCGGGGACGCAGCGACACTTACCACCACTACCACCACCACCACCACCTCCACCACCGCCTCAACCCACCATCACCACCACCACCACACAACCACCACCACCACCCCCACAGCCACCACCACCACCACCACAATCACCACAACCACCACCACTACCACCACAAAAACCCACCACCACCACCACAATCTACCACACCATCACCACCACCACCACAACCACCACCATTACCAGCAGCACAACCCACCGCCACCACCACAAACCGCCACCACCACCACCACCTCCGCCACCACCACCACCACAACAAACGTCCACAAACCACCACCACCACCACAACCCACCACCACCACCACAAACCACCACCACACCACCACCCCCACACCACCACAACCACAACCACCACAACTCACCATCACCACCAACACAAAAACCCACCACCACCACTACCACCACCAGAATCTACCACACCGCCACAACCACCACCACTATCAGCAGCACAACCTACTGCCACCACCACAAACCACCACACCACCACCACCACCGCCACCACAACCACCACCACCACCAGCACCACCTCCACAAACCACCGCCACAACCAAAACCCACCACCACCACCACAAACCACCACCACACCACCACCAAACCACCACCACCACCACTGCAACCCACCACCATCACCACCACCACAAACCACCACCACACCACCACCGAACCACCACCACCACAACCACCAACACCACCACCACCACCACCACCCACCGCCACAACCACCACCACAACAAACCACCACACCACAACCACCACCACAACCACCACCACCGCCACCACCACCACCACAACCCACCACCACCAGCACCACCGTCGTCTTCGTCGACGCTCCCCGCCACCGCCGCCCGCCGCCGCAGGCGCCGGTCCCGAGATGGTTGCATTCGTTACATAGGTTGCATCGCATACATTGCACCACATAGGTTGCACCGCATAGACTGCAATTACTACTGTTTGGGGTCCACGCTGGCGAACATTTGACCCTAATCTGAACGTGTCTGCGACATCTACTTCTTTAGCTCTCCTGCTGTTCACCTTCCTCTGGGCACTGCAGAAGTTTGAGGACTGATTCCTACAGTGTGAACCGCGGATCCCAGCTGCATCGCCGAAACACTGGAGAGGTCCTCCAAACCCCTTCTGGGATACAGAAAGCAGTTCCTGATGGCAGCGGGTGACGGCTCCAAGGAGGGCCTTCCCCCTGCCCCGTGCAGAGCCCAGGGAGGTCAAAAATCGCGAAGGCCCCCGAGTGGCAGACAACGGCGCGCCGCCAAGGGGGAGCCAAGCGCCGATCGAAGAAATCCGCGCGGATCTCCGACTGTTTCTGGTTACCGTGCTTTTTTCTTCGACGAGTCTCAGGATCCCGTCCCTTCAGGGCGACTCCTGCGCAAGCCCTGTTTGGGCGCCCTCGAGCCTTCCACTTCTCGCCCGCGAGCTTGGCGACGACCGGGGGCTTCGCGGTGCCGGCCTCCTTCGCGAGCGCCTCGCGGTTCTCGCCGAGCCAGAGCCAATAGGCGCTCGCTGGCCGCGCAGGCTTTAAGGACGCCTTGCGGGCCTCCTCTTGGCGGCGCGCGCAAGGGGGTGGCGCGAGGGGGCTGGCGGTCAAAGAAACCCTTCGCATTTCTACGGGGCCGCCCCCCTCGCGCCATCCCCTTGTGCACACCACGGATCCTTTCGGGGGCGCATACAGAGAACCTGGAACAAGCGGCAGTTGGAAATGCAATGCGAATGTGGAAGTATCCAGGGCTGGAAAAACTGGCGGGGACTGAAACGAGTCCGAAGCAGTTCAGATGAGAACGCCAGAGCTGGAGACACTAGAGGGAAACTGGCCAGGGCTGGAAATCGGTGAAGGGCTGGACCCAGCCAGCTTTTGTCGACCGCCCCTGTTGAGGCGGCTCTGGCCCCGGATGCCCCCCGAGCTGCCAGGGAGGCACAGACAGCTCTCGGACGAACACAAGGGGAAGCACCACAACCGCCTGGGAGACGCAAAACCGACTGACCTGGAGGGACGAAGGCGCACAAGACGGCCCGCGAGAGTGCCAGAGCAAGCATATGACACCGCGGCCGCTGATCCACCGTTTGCCCCCACTCAAAAGTGTCGGCGGTGGTGACGCTGACATCCTCCGAATGGCATGGCCCCCCCGACGCCGACGGGGGCTCCGAGGCTAGCGGAAGCTGCAGAAACGGCCCTGGAGCTGGAGGCACCCTGGGCCAGTGACACCCGTGTCAACACCCGATCCTTCTTCGCCTTCTTGTCGGCCTTGGCGTCCTTGGCCTCCTTCTTCTCCAGGCGCCGCTTGCCCACCTGGCCCCCGCTGGCCTTGAACTTCTCCATGGCCGTGTCGTAGTCAGCCTTCAGCTTCGCCGACCGATCCTCGAAGGGCTTCTTGGCCGTCGCCGACAGTCCCTTCCACTTCTCGCCCCCGAGCTTGGCGACGACGCTGCCCTTCATGGTACCAGCCTCCTTCGTCAGCGCGTCGCGATTCTCACCCAGCCAGATCCAATAGGCGGTCTGCGGCTTCTTCGGCTCCTCGAGTTCTGCCGCCATGCTGGCTCGCTGTTCGGAATCTGACGCCGAGAAGTTCTCGCCGCGCGCGGGAGATGTCAGCTGAGGCGATCCCTGAGCCCTGACTCAGAAAAACGACAGAACTCGCTGATGTGTTGCTAGTACTGCTACCCGTGGGCATCAGCAGGAGGAGCGAGGGAGGGAGGGAAGGAGGGAGGGAGAGTAGCAATGATTACTTCAAAAGAGATACCACCAGTCACCCAAAGTTGGAGGCGCCTGGGAGGTCTGCTCTGGATGGACACCAGCGAACCCAGTCAGAATGGAAAAGGACAAACTCGGCATCCACTGCCCATCTGGAGTCTGGAGAAGGCGCTCCATCTGGAGAAGGTGCGCCTCTCCCCCGATCCACTGGTCAGAACCGGTGATGCCTCGACTCAGCCCCCCAGCTGGCTCCAAGTTGAAAGGATGGTGCTGCACTGCCCTCCTCTCTCAGGGCAGCCAGGGCGGCTGTGCCTGATCTTCGAAGACCGCCTCAGATTGGGTCCGAGCAGATGGCGTCGGAAGATTGGGCCGTATCGCCGATGCATCCACGACGTTGGGATGGGGAAGTCCGGCTCTGGATCGAGCCGCATCGCTGATGCATCGGCGATGCGGCGCGAGGCGATGCGGCGCGGCCCTCCGGCCCCATCTAGTTACTCGGACCTCGCTGGGGCGGTCCGGAATCCCTCCACCCTTACATCTCCACCTCGTCCTCGTCTTCCCTCGTCCTCTTCGCACTGCCCCTCGACATCGCCCTCCTGCTCCTCCGCTGCTATGCCTCATGCTACCCGCCGCCCCCCCATCTCCATCCTCCTTCGGCCGCCTCCCCATGGGCTTTCCAAGGATAAGTATGCAGAAGACTTCCCGAACCTCGACCCTCGAGCCTCGAACATCGACGAGGACGGCGACCACGACGACCACGACGTCGACGACGACGACGACGACCACGACGACCACGACGATGACGACGACCACGACCACCACGACGACCACGACGACCAAGACGGCGCGATGACGACCACGACTACGACGGCACGACGACGACGACGACGACCAAAGCGACGACGACGACGACGACGACGACGACCAAAGCGACGACGACGACGACGACGACGGTCTGAACGTTGCAGATTCCGCGCCAAGAGACGTATCGAGCCAGCCGGCCACGGGCCCTGTTCGCGGGGGCCCGGGAAGGGTCCCCAGAGGGGGTTGCTGACAGCAGCGCAGAGACTCTCCCACAGGACCCCAAACCTCCGAGGATATGATTGTTTCACTCCAGGCCCTCCAGGCGTTTTTCCTCGACTGCGGCCTCCGGGGCACGTCATCGGGCCCCCAGGCCATCGAACGGATCTAGGACAAAAAACTACGGGGTCGGGACGTCTGGGGCCGTTCGATTGAAACAATCACACCGGAGGGTGTTTGGGGCAACTTCTCCTCGCCGCGTCACTTCCGTCCCGCCCTGAACCATCGACCCCCAGACCTCAACAAGGGGCCCGCTCTGGCCAGAGTCTCGAAGGGATTCTGGCCGTGGCGCGGAGGACCCTCCCGGAAGCCCAAAGAAGAACCTAAAACAACAGAACATGGCCTCCCCCTGTCAATAAACTCAGTCCTCTATGCCGTGGGAAACGTGCCCGACCCAAGGCAAGAACCCAAAACAAAACAAGAGAAACAAACATTGAGAAAACCAGATCCTCGGAGCCCGTTTGCACCGCACCCAGCCCAAGGCCGTGAGAGGCGCCAACAGGTCGCCGTCGTCGACGTAGGCGATTCCGTCGCCGCCGACCGCCGTCGGCGTCCACGCCGTCGCCGCCGGCAACGTCGCCAGCCGCCGCCGCCGCCAACGCCCACGCCGCAGCTGCCGCCGTCGCCTGGCCGGAGAGGGGGAGGGCTGGCAGGGCCGGCGCAAGCGCGGGAGCCGTTGCCTGCGCGCCCCTGGCCGCGGCTCCCGCCGCGCCGCTGGACCTGGCGGCCGCGGGCCCCAACGCGCGTCGCGCCGCGCGGCTGCGAGGCATAGACCGTGCCTCCTGCACGGGCCAGGCTTGGCACGGGCAGGAGCAGGGGGTGCTGCCAGGGACAGCGGTGGCCCTGGCCCGAGGTGAGGCCGGCTTTCCCCAGAGGCTCCCAGGGGGAGGCCTCGAGGGCCCCAGGGAGCTCCAACTTGGCGCGACAAGCGGGAGGCACCTTGCGCCAGGATCACCTCTGTCCCTCTGGACATCGCACGGGCTGGGGCTCTGGACATCGGACGGGCTGGGGCTGGAGAAGGCAAAACATTTTCTGGGGTACCCTCAAGGGCAAGACCATTCATGAGATCCGACGTTGCGAACAAAAACAGCAACAGCCAGAAGATCGCGACCGGAGCCCTGGACCCCATCTTTCTGCATACGTAACTGTTTGAGCTGCATCGTGACGGCCCTGCAGGTGGGGAAAACGCCCGGTGTGAAAACAGATGGCCCAATCCAGGAGACCTGATCTCAAAAATGTGGGGCGAAACGCACTTTTACTTCCTCCGAGATTCCGCCGGCGGAACCGCCGCCGCTTTACTCCCGCCGCCTTGCGGCGGCCATCCCGCCGGTTTCCGCCGAGGGCGGGACGCGCCGAAGGCGAGGCCTTGTCGGGAACTCCCGGGACCTCTGTAACCGAGTGCGGGCGATAATAATACCCGGGGGATGAGAAAGTTCGGGGGTCTGGCGGGGACAATCAAGAATTTTCCCAGGGAAAATGAAGTTATGATGATGATGTTGATGATGATGATGACGATGATCATGATGATCGTGGTCCTGGGCGCTCGGCACAAGACTGACTCGAGAGATCTCGATGCTCGTGGCTACAACCGGCCAGCAAGTTACAATCGGTAACTTACCCGGTAGATTATAAAGTTCGGCCTCCGCGCCCCTCTCCACCACTAAATCCTGTTGAACGGAGATCATAAAGATAGAGGGGGTGAAGGGGGGACCTATATTATCGCCCGCATTCCGTTATGTATCGGCCCCTGGCCAGGCCTGTTCGACTGGTAGTGGTGAATAGTGGTGTTTACTTTCCTTGCCACCGAAGCCGCATGGCCACCTGGGCGGCGAAAATGGGTGAAGGCGCCTTCCATGAGATCAAGCGTTGCTAAACAAATCGCGAAGAAACACGACAAGAGCACTGAGAGAGCGCGTTTCTCGGGCGCTTGCCTTGGGAAAAGTCGGAAGCGCGTTTCGAGCCGGGGAGGGGGCCCTCCCCCCCAACACTGGGCGCCGTCGATCAGAAGCAGGGGACCCCCCTCCCCCTACCCCCATCCCTCCCGGACCCCCCCCCACCTTCCCAACGGAAGGAGGGGGTCCAAACCCCCCCCCGGCGCCGGCGCGCCGGCGCCGGCGCTGGCGGCCGCCAGCAGCGCCGACGGCAGGGACGCAGCGACGATGACCAGAGGGGGCCCCCCCCCCGCGCCGGAGCTGGCGGCGGCCAGCAGCGCCGACGGCGGGGACGCAGCGACGATTACCAGAGAGGGCCCAGCGGCCGCAGAGGGAACACACAAATCGCCATATCGAGACCTCGACCCCAGAAGCCACCGAGAGGCCCTCAGGAAAATCCACGAGGCTTCACACATGCTCCTCAGACGCCCCCGAGACCCTTCTCTGACGAGACCTCAAGAGGCACCCAGTAGAACTCTGACCAGAAACCAAATCACGGTAGCTGGAAGAGCCGAAGGCGACACCACCACCACCACAAACCACAACAGCAACACCACCACCACCGCCACCACCACCACCACAACCACCACAACCCACATCCACCACAACCACCACCATTACCACAAACCACCACACCACCACACCACCACCACCACCACCACCAAAAACGCCACTACCACCAGCACCACAACAACCGACCACAACCCACCAAACCACCACCACCATCACCACCACCACAACACCACTAGAAGCACCATCACCACCACCGCCACCACCAACACCATCACCACAACACACCACCACCGCCACAAACCACCACACCACCACCACCACATCCACCACCACTACCCACCACCACCACCACCCACCACCCACCACCCAACACCACCACCACCAGCACCGCTACCAACAGCACCACCACCAACAACAACACCACGGCCCACCACCACCACCACCACCACCACAAACCACCAAACCACCACCACCACCACCACCACCGCCACCACCAATACCACCACCACCACCTCCACCACCACCTCAAGCCACCACCACCACCACCACCAAACGACCACACAACCACCACCACCACAGCCACCAACACCACCACCAGCACAACAACTCACAGCCACCACCACCACAACAACCCTCCAACACTACCACCATCACAATCTACCACACCACCACACCACCATCGCCACAACCACCACAACACCACCACCACCACAACCCACCACACCACCACCACCACCACCACCACCACCACCACCACAACCACAACCACAAACCACCACAACACCACCACCACCACCGCCAACACCACCACCACCACCACCACCACCACCACCACCACCACCTCCACAAACCAGCACCACCGCCACCACCGCCACCACCACAACCACAAACCACCACACCACAACCACCACCACCACCGCCACACCACCGCCAACACCACAACAAGCCACCACCACCACCACAAACCGCTACCACACCACCACCACCAAACCACCACCACCACCACCCACCACCACAACCATCACCACCACAACATACCACCACACCACCACCACCACAACCCGCCACCACCACCACCAGAACCCACCATCACCAGCACTACCCACCACCACAGCCAATCAACCACCACCACAACCACCACAACCACCACCACCGCCACCACCATCACCACCACAACCCACCACCACCACAACCACTACCACCCCCATCACCACCACGAGAAACCACCACACCACCACCGCCACCACCACCACCACCTTAACCCACTACCACCACCACCACCACCACAACTACCACCACCACCACCTCCAGAACCCACCGCACCACCACCACCACCACCGCCGCCACAACCACTACCACCACCACCACAACCACTACCACCACCACCACAACCTGCCACCAC